GCGCTAGGAAGTTTTTAGCCAACGATGAAACAATTGCTTCATACATGACCATGAGGTTGCGACCCACGCAACTTTAATCCAAATGTAAATTGTTGTATGAAAAAAAAAAAAAAAAAAATTGACGATCAAGTTGGGTCATCTACTTTTTGCTCTAATCGAAGGCACTCGTTGGCACACTTGCAAATGAAAACAGTTTAACACGCATTTCATCAACAACCAGAATACTAACAACTTTCGTTTGCTTTCGTGCTCGAGTGAAACAGAAAAACTAGCCTCAAAGTGAACAAACGAGGAAGATCTCTTAAATTTCTCGCCATACAAGAAAAATCGACGCTTCACTTTTGAAGCAGTAGATAACATATTGACAACTTGCGGGTCGTTCAATGGATAAAAAATAGTCCAAGGAAAAAAAAAACAATTCATTCTTATAAATATCTCCTTGTCTTACGAAAAAGTCATGTATTAATGAATGATAAAAATGCCGTACCGTTGCACTCGAAAAAAAAAAATTTATTTTCATTAGCGAACAAACGCGGTACTCTTCCCCTGCCAAGGCAACCCGCACCGTTAATGATCCAACGAAAAAAAAAAAAAAAAAAAAAGGTGCATCAGTCGACGAAGCATCTTACATAATGAATGGGATCTCTTTCGAAGAGCCACCGATAAAATTGTATCGAGGAGGACGGTTTTCACACGCAAAGTCACAAATCATCCTCTCAAGTTGCAAGGTGCTCCGTTCATCGGCATGAGAATCGGTAAATTCACACGCCAACCGATCGCATGTACCTTCAGCTCATTTTACGCGTTTTCAGCAGCTTAATTTCGTTGTGGCGTTTTTTTTTAACGTTAATTACGATCGTGTCGGACGCGTTTTTTTTTTTTTATTCGAAGCACAGTTCATCAAGTTAATTTTTTTTTTTTTTTTCGCGGGACCCTGTTATCGATGACGGTGAATGGTTTCCGTCTAATATGTGGCACGTATGCATAAATCTTTATCACAAACTGCAAAGTAATATTTTCGCGTTAATAAATTAATCAAATGGCATTACAAGCATAATTATTTTATTTTAAATCATACCATTTTTATTTGTATATACATGAGTAAAAAAATTTTTTAATTTACCATCACATTTGTGCTAACGTCACATAAAACCATATGGTCTGTCGAGTGTATGATGCATGAACCAAGAATTATGTATACGTGAATTAAGTCATACCAACGATAATCCGACGCGCAATTTAATGCAAGCGTTAAACGTCATTTGAATTTATTGGAACGTAACGCAAATCACTTGCAAATATGCGTACCCTGTACATTGACAATATGCCATTGTAACTCTATACAATTTACCTTCAAGTAAAAAAAATCGTGACTCGGTGAGTTTCGATATACAGTACTGATTTCGTGAGCCTATATAATATTTTTAACTTTTAAATTAGTGCAAAGACCTTTTACACATAAATAATCAAGGAAACTTTCGATCAAATAAACATCGACTCATAGGCAAGCCGCAAACTTTTGAAACGATATTTTGTAAGATTTAAATGTATACGTATAGCGGAAAAGAGCACACGTCATCTCAACAACGGTACAGAGGTGGGAAAAAAAAAACAACGCAATCAACAGCCGAAAGATTTTAAATCTAACGGAATGCAAAGAAAGGCTCCGGCGAAACGATAGTACATGTATCATAAATCGATATTTACGTTATTTTTCAGGTTTTAGCTGGTAAAAATCGATCGTTGGGGAGAAACAAAAATATCACTCGAATCACCATGGGACAGGGTTTTTGTGAAAAAAAGAACACAACCAGGGAAAAAAATGTCCAACTAAAGCCGTACGCGCGGCGCTTTTTTGTATAATAGCGTTACATATTCAACAGTTGTCGCGTGCCGCGATGGTTAAGCACACCATAGGGGCACTGCACTCCATACAGAGTCACAGCCACGCATACCCGTATACATATACATACGAGAAAAATTAAGCGTGAAAGAGCTTCCATGTGCTTTTGGCAAAGGTTCGAAGGTTATTTCTTTCTCCAAAAAACATGAAAATTAACTCCAACGGGGTAGGAATCTCTCGGCCATTTACAATGAGAAAAATATCGCCATTGGATTGATTTTCCAATAGATGTTAACCAACTTCTCACCGATAAACAGTTGTGCGGCAAATTTCACCGATTCCAATCGCGTGTAAAAAAAATACAGTCAGACACATGTGGAATTGCAGGTATGTGGAGCCCAGTCATCGGTTAACGGTGTACTTGTATATATGTATACACGTGCGTACAACCACACGAAAATCGTCGGACCTACACGCCGCGTAAAACTGGAATTTTCGGGTACGCGAGGAGAGCTGATCGAATCACGCGTCAATGTAAACTGCGTACAAATACATACAAGTACGCGTTATGGACCCTTGCGTAATAACTTCCACCATCCTGTTGTAAGACGCTCCGTCTCATCCGTTCGCCGATCGAGATAATGGTCACCTGGGCGGTGGAGATCGGTATTGGATATCGAGCCTTCGATCGCAATGCTGCTCGATCATCACGAGGGAGACGCGCTTCTTTCGCAACACTCGATTATAACATCATCTCGGAAGAGTATACACTCGAATCCGCGAAATCGAGCTCCTTACCGATCCCCCTAACTTTTTTTTGCTTTGCCAATCTTTTTCGCGTATTCCTCGATCGTTTTAGTACACCACGCGATCGATTGGGATAACAGCCCCGTGTTTCTCAGTTTGAACGGGAAATAAAGAGCTCCGAACGATTTAACAGGCTGTCGTTCGGAAACGACAAAAAAAATCGGTTACGTTCGACGAAGGAATCCAACATGTGGGTTGGTGTATTTTTGGAGTCAAAGATACAAAAAAACGAGAAAAATACAAGGAGGGGAAGAGTGATTGATTTTTCACCACAAGAATAAGAAAAAGAGAAAAAAAAAGATCTCAGTACTCTCTTTGGATTCTTCCTGGAGTGTACAACTGACAGCCGGACTAGTATACATTTGTATCCCTTCGTTAAGTGAGCGTTTGCGGTTACCTTCATCTATGTAATTTATTTCCCTTCAAAACAACCATTTTCGCGAATTATTGCTCTCGTCTATATATACGAGCACATGTCGGGTATAATTGAAAAGTTTCGATCGCCGCTTTGCGCGTGAAATAGTACATATAGGTATGGGCTTTTTTTCCATCTTATGCACTTTGGTAACGGGCTATTAAGTGTAGCCGATTATTGTTTCCCGCTGGTAGTCGCCAAAAAAGGGAATAATTTACGTAATTAACAAACAACAACTCACCCCGTAAGCAAAAACTCCTGTCCTCGCCATGTCAGCGATCGCTCCGCTCTGTCGATCTCGAAAAGCTCAAAAGCTGCGCCAACGGGCACTACCTTCCAATCAACGGTACGACCAAGAGTCCACGTTGTCCTCGAGAGAAAAAAAAAGTTCTTTGAGTACTTATACACACGAAAGAGGGAAAAAAAAAGAAAAAAAAACCCGTTTGGCCGATTCGACAAAAGTGGGTCACAGGGTCGCGCAACGGCCGCGCAACAGCAACAGTAGTCCCATGTCACCGTAAACGCGTGCAAATGGTACTACTCGCGAGTATACAAGAATCGGCACCGCGAGCCTATGAGAAAAAGAAGAAGGAGAGGGATCCTCGCAGGTGGATGTCCAGAGGTTGACTGGCGCAAGTCTTTCCGGCCTATTCCCGCATACCTTCTCTCTTGGGCCCAGAAGTCGCTTAGGAAAAAGAGAGGAGGGAAGAAAGATATCTCTCGCTCGCTGCCTACAGGAGGAACCGGCTCTTGCTATAATACGTATATATATGTACACATCGCTCTCTCGGAGAAAGAAGGGTACGATGAGGATGGAGAGCATATGGTGTGCTCTAGAACTATGCGGGACCCTATACACACACACACACACACACATATAGATGAGGCCCTACACGTATAGTATTGTGTGCTTGTCCGCTCGGTTTTTTCCTCTAGAAAATAAGTTTGCTTCCTCTTTTTCTAGGCTCTCGGGCGCGCTCTCGTTTCGCCTTTTCCTCTTCTCTCTCTCTCTGTGGGCAAGAGTATCGCTCTCTTTGCATTGCGCGGATTCCAATGTTTTTCTCTCGTCGATCGTGATAAGTCGAGCTTTTTTTGATCCCATGTACCTCTACCGATCTCGGCCTTTTTTTCTTCGACGCTAGTAATTGGCTGATACCGTTTTTTTTTTAATTTCGTTTTCTCAGGGGTATCGCGGAATGTTTCCTGTACATTGGTTGAAAGCAAAAACAAATGTTGGAGCGACAAACAATTTAACAAACTTTTGTTTATCGTGTTCAAGAGGTCACGTCACAGCTTTAAGCAATAGACCTGAATTCTATTTTTGAATCTATAGTAGAAGTGATTGATAGTAGATATGAAACGGAATGAAAAGCCGCGATTAAAATCAAAGTATACGGATATGTACGTGGACAAAATGGTTTAGAATAAAATACTGAACAATTAATATTTTAAAAATGTATTTGCTTTCCTATTATTTCAATCCATTAATATTTGATGTTTTTTTTTACAATCAATAAGAGTCTTGTAAACGTACGAGACGTTTAGGTACAAATTTTTTTACTCCAGTGTAATGCTATCTAATGACTTACATTTATTTTGTAAATTCAAATAAAACAGTTAGTTCAGCACTTTCCTTACATACAAAATGTTTTACTAGCTTATGAATGAGAAAACTACAAAGTAAAGAAAAGTATACACTCATTACCTAAATTTACATCTAGCACATATTTTTAAACCAAGTAGGAGTTCGTATTTATAAATCATTACATAATTTGAACTGCTAAATAGCGAGGATTAATGATGTGTATCCTCTTGTGAATTTTTTTTTTTAAACTGAATTGAAACGAATAAGCTAATTGTGTGGTTATAGACAAAAAAAAACATTAACGTAATTGAAACATTAAAATCAATTTTGTAATGGACTTAAGTAAATTAATTTGAGTAACAATCAACATTAGTATAAAAAAATATGATATACGTGTAAAGCATAGTTTTAACAAAAATATTCATAAGTTATTTGTTTGGACAAAGTCGCAACATGTAATCTGTACAATGTACCGTCAATATTTTGGAACAATTAAATATAACCTTAATCATTAAAAAATATTGATGAAATTCGTTTTTCACCTTTCAATATAATTTAATATTTTGAGGTCAAAGAATTGAGACACTACGATATGATAAAAAAATTAATACATGAAGATTAAGAAACTACAAGAGATATGAACAGGAGTTAGTTAACTTGTGAAAATAAGAACGAAAATTCATCGAGTGTTGTTGGAGTGAATAAAATATATGAATTTCCACAATAAACTATAGATATGGCGCAATTAAAAATACTATACTTATTCATTAGCACGTTGCGAGACTTAATCGTCAAATTTGATGGAATTTACACTCGTGTCTATCTGTCCGCCTCGATAACTGCCACGCTTCTTCTTGGTCTTTTCGTGTCGAAAAGATTTACCTCTCGTATATTTTAAATCTAAGTTTGCTTTTTCTCCCCATGAGCCTCTTGAATTTTTCTGCAAAATAAAAAAAAAATAAAAAATAAAAAAAAAACATTTTTGAGTATTTAGAGTAGAATGTCACTTGTAAGGAGTACTAAAAACTTCTAACGAGATAAGGAAATAAATATTGAAAATCCATAATAATGCCTCAATGTGCATATTAAAACCACAATTAACTACCTAAGTTCAATCGTCGAATGTTATTTTCTTGTTTTGCTGTTTCGAGTCACCACCATCGCCGAAACTTTTTCTGTCGTTAAAACCGCCCCTGTTACCGCCATCGCCCCACGATTTTCTGAAACCGTCTCCTCTACCACCTCTGTCGTTGCCACCCCACGACTTTCTGTCACCGAACCCACCACGACCTCCCCGATCACCGCCTCGACCACCTCTGAAGCCACCTCCCTCTCCTCGGCCACCTCTGTAACCACCTCCCTCGCCACGGCCACCTCTGTAACCACCCCCTTCGCCGCGACCACCTCGGAAACCACCGCCGCCGCGACCACCACGGAAACCACCTCGGAAACCGCCACGATCACCGCCGTCGCGTCCACCTCTGAATCCTCCACGACCGCGACCTCCGCGATCGAAACCGCCTCGGCCCCTGAAGTTATCGCCACCACTATGCCTCTTAAAGTCGCCGTTTTGTTCACCATCTTCTTCCTAAAAATGACAAAAGAGAAACAACAGGTCAATCGTCGTAGCATGAGTATGATGGTTGGTCTATGTTGTAATTTTTTTTTTTTTTCATTATTGATTAAACACTGTATTTTTAATTTCAAGCTAGTGATCTTGACAATACACAACGGTGAATGCTAGGAAACAATTGACCTGTGTTTCTCTTTTGATGTTTCCAAGCATTTACCTTTGCCTCAAATGAGTTATTTGCCAGCCTAGGATCCAACTCTATTTCATCATCTTTAACTCGTCTGAATGGTACGTTCTTCTGTAAAATATTATACACAAAAAACCCATTAAATTATAAAATAATTTTAATAAAGAAGAGAGTCTACTTTTAAATTTTGTAACCAAACTATGGTTTAATCTTCTAAATTTCCTTATGTCACTTGATCCAAGCAAAAAGGTAATTCAGAGAGGTCTAAACTCCTTATCAACACGTGTTATTGATAGAAAATAGCTTAAAGCATCTTAATACATTTGAGTAAAAACATGCAATTAGCACCAACTTGATTAAAAATAACCAGTGTTTATCTTGATTTTCTTATGTTAAAACCTAAACGTAAGATCAAATAATATAAAATAAAATAAAACAATCAAATATTTTACATACCTTTTCACCATTTTCTTGACCACCTTTTACAAAGTTGCTGTAGTTGTTTTTGTGGGCTTTAGCCGCTGGCTGTTCAGCTTCTTCCTCTTCGTCCCTGTGTTTTCTTTTTTTCTCATTTTTCTTCGGCGAGGTCACCTTTTCAGCTTTTACTTCTTGTTCTTCACTGGAATCATCATCATCGCTCGACTTTTTTTTTTTCTTAGACTTTTTGGCAACCTTAGCTGGAGTTTTGACTGCTGGTTGCTTTTCTTCAGAATCATCTGAAGAGTCATCGTCTGATGATTCCTTTGCTGGTGCCTATAAATAATTTTTTGATTTAAAAAATACCGGTAAAAAATTATTTGATGTAAACAAAATACTACAAGCATTTATTGTATTTACCTTTGCAGGCGTGGCTTTTGCTGCTGCCGCTTTCACGGGTTTAGCTTGTTTTTCGTCCGAATCGTCGCTTGAGTCTTCACTTGAGGATTTTTTCTTTGCTGGCTTTGCGGCAACTTTTTTCGCAGGAGGTTCATTTTCATCACTGCTGTCGTCTTCACTAGACGATTCTTTTTTAGCCGGTGGTTTTGCGGCGGGTTTTATCACCGCTTTCGGAGCAGATTTTTTCGGTGATTTCTCCTCTTCCGAGGAATCATCATCGGAAGAAGATTCTTTTTTGGCAACGGGCTTCGCAGGAGTAGCTTTGGCAGCAACAACTGGTTTAACAGGTGTTTTTGCCACAGGCTTGGCTTCTTCATCCGAAGAATCGTCATCACTGGACGATTCTTTCTTTGCCGGGGTTTTGGCTGCTGGTTTCACTTTTGTTGCTGGCACCGCAGCAGGCTTGACTGGGGTCTTGGCTGCAGGTTTTTCATCTTCGCTTGACGAATCGTCCGAGGATGATTCTTTCTTTGCTGCTGCCTTTGCTGTAGTTTTTGCCGGTGTTGGTTTGGCAGCTACTTTTGGAGTTGGCTTCTCATCTTCGCTAGAAGAATCGTCGGAAGAGGATTGTTTAGTTACTGCAGCCTTAGCTGGGGTGGCAGCAACAGCCTTGGTAGTTGCAGTTTTGGCAGCCTTAGCTTTGGGTGCTGGTTTTTCATCTTCGCTCGAAGAATCCTCCTCAGAAGATGATTCCTTCTTTGCAGGTGCCTTAGCTGGGGTTTTTACCGGCGCAGCAGCGGGCTTGACAGGAGTCTTTGCTGGCACAGCTGCCGGTTTGACAGGAGCTTTGGATTTTGGCTTTTCATCTTCACTGGAAGAATCGTCATCTGAAGATGAGGCTTTTTTGGCTACAGCTTTGGCTGGAGCCTTAGCTGGAGGCTTTGCCGGTGTTTTAGCGTCACTACTTGAATCGTCTGAGGAATCGTCCGATGATTGTGCCTTCTTAGCAACAACGGGCTGCTTTGCTGGGCCTTTGCCATTGACAAGAGCAGTCTTTTTGGGCTCTTCGTCATCACTTTCTTCAGAGCTCGAGGTCGAGCCATTACTCTGTTTAACACTTTTTACGGAAACTTTTTTGGCTGAAGTTTTCTGATAATGACTAAAAACCTCTGCTATCGATGGACATCCTTTGGCAAGTGCAGGCTAAAACGATACCAAAAGCAAATATTAACCATTAAATAATACATTTATTTTTTTTAATACATCGAAACAGTTTGATTGGATAACGTTGCATTAGTTTATTTGAAAGGTAAGGTTTTCCAGAGTGTGTTACGGTATGTGTATTTTTAGGTTATGAACCTGAATGTTACAATTATAGTGACAAAACGATCATGCCACTCATTTTATGAGAAAACTCGCATTGAAAAACAGCATATTTTATTTATTAATTAAAGCACTGCTTGAACTTTAGCTGATTAATAAAGTGTTGTGCAATGTGACGGCGTCTAGCGTGCACGTCGTTGGACATGTGGTACCTTTTTCATGCGCAGCATTTGAATTTACATAAGTAAGTAAGTACGTTACCAGGACACAATTTAAGATTAAATTGACGGCATTAATTGGCAAATCGCTACATCAAGTAGAAGTTAAAAAAAAAAAAAGGTACTAAGTTCCAATATAACAAAAAATGCAATCTGTTATGCTACACCGGTGTGAGGATGTGCAATAAAAGATACCAGATTTTTGTCTCCATGAAATCAAATGGTGCTTATTGATAGTTATTAAACATCGAAATGTTTTCATATAAAAAAAGCAAAGAAAGGGCCGTCACGTGGTGTTGAAAAGGAACAGAATGGCGGGCCGCAAAAACACGCGCACGAGGTGGCGGTGTAGCCGGTCTTCGATATCAAGAAATAAATCACCCAATAAACAAAGGTAAAGGATATAACTTACCGCGTTCGTCTTCTTTTGGAAAACCTTGGCGAGACTCGAGTCTTTCTTTAGCAGATAATCGTAGACCAGGGCGTTAATGCCTAAGTCCTCAGTGCCGGCCATGTCGTCGTTAAATGTTGTTTAAACTATGAACTGCTGTGATCTGTGGATTCGGAATTGTCGGAAACCTCGAAGGGCTCGGAGCGGAGCCGAGTCGGTACCGTCGGTGGGGTGGGTGTAAAAAAAACCAAAAACGAAAAGTTCAAGATCAGCGCCATCTAACGGTATTCATTTTCTCGGACTCGGACGTCTCGGTTTTTTGCGAAAAGTGGCCTTCAAGGAATACGCAGCCTCTGAATTTATCATTCTGGTAAAGAGAGCACGGTCCACGGTGTAAGATATACATGAAGTTATGTGTAGTAATTATAATAATCATCACTAAGTTGTGCCATATGGTCGATTTTATTAAACCATACAAGTAGAATATCAATACTCTTGGTGGTCAATTTTAGGGTAGAAGACAAACCGTAAACTTGCCGCAAATGGCATTACTTTGATTAAAATTTTATTTTCTGTTTGTTACTTTAGTTGCGGCTGGTTTATAATTTGCTACATGGCTCTACTATAAGTTGTAGTAATAATTTGGATCAACGCCATCTAGCGTTGCGGATTTCTGAACTAAAAAGTGGCCCTAAACTTTTCAGCCAGAGCTTTAGCGCTTAGAGCCATTTAATCACTTGTAAACCAGCCGCAACTCATGATGTAGCTATAAAATGAAAAAATAACGATACGTGTGTTTTTGGCGGCAAGCTAACAACTGATCTTTAACTCGAAAATTCATCTTCAAAAGTATAAATACATATGAGGTCAATTTTTTAGTAAAAAATAGATTGTTAACTTGCCGCCAAAAACACGTGTATCGTTATTTTTTTATTTTATAGCTACAACATGAGTTGCGGCTGGTTTACAAGTGACTAAATGGCTCTACGCGCTAAAGCTCTGGCTGAAAAGTTTAGGGCCACTTTTTAGTCCAAAAATCCGCAACGCTAGATGGCGCTGATCCAAATTATTACTACGACTTATAGTAGAGCCATGTAGTAAATTATAAACTAGCCGCAACTAATATTGCAGATAGACAATAATCAGATGACATTGTTTGATTTACTTGCGGCAAGTATTCGGTTTACCTTTTACCCGAAAATCGACCTTCAAAAGTATATAGATATTCTACTTATATGGTTTAACATACTTAATCGACAGACCATCAGTCAGCAGTTTGGTCTTACCGTCTACCGCAACCCGCTCACGTCTTTTTTGTTTTGTTTAAGACTTTAAGTTAAATAGATAAATTTATATGTAAACAGCTGCGGTACTGCCCTCTTATGCCATCGAAATACGTAATCTCTGTTAGATTAAAATGAATTGCACACATATAATAAAAAAATACAATGGAAACGATTGATCTATTCGAACTGCCTTATAAAGATGGAACTAAAATTTCTCGAATTCACAATGGTTATGCGTACCGCTTGAAATATAAAACAAAAAACCGTTGTTGAGTGCATAAACGAAACTTTTACTTACTTTGTAGTAGTTGATAACGATTAGGTGATTTTTTTAAAAGAAATTTAGCGACATACCATCTGCTCAGTACGAAAGATCCCATTTTTTGCTTAGGTAACATGTAGAATAAAATATCGTTAAGTAGTAACCTAGCTTCGTAACGATATTTTTTGATGACTATTGAAATTTGAAAATCACTGGAAACCATGAAGGTATTCAATGTTATTTTAAAATTTTATGTACATATATTATGTCTACAAATGTTTATTAATACATTGAAAGTTGACTCCCATTAGTTTCATGTTGTAACATAAACATTTTAGATCCATCCTACAGTGAAAGAACTGATGCGTTGTAAATTTCTTTTGGTTCCAGTTACTTGGCTTGTTCAAAAAAAAGTGATTTAAAACTGAAATGCAGAGGTCATATTATATTGGATAATGGTAGAATTAAAGAAATTAGCCAACACAATCATCCTCCAGATGAATTATTAGAGGACAAGAGTAAACTAAACAGCGCCATAAAAGTAGCTGCCCAACAAAATCTTTGTTCTTCCAAAGAGTGCTACGAAAGGCTTTCCAGAGAGTATGTATAAATTAATCATTGCTTAATGAAGAATAGTGTATAAATAAAGTTATAAAACTTTGTTTCACTTATGTTAACTTAAAATAAACCAACCAAATATTGTGATGTTTGGTTTTGATACATATGATAATAAACTAATTTTAGATATCCAGAGTTGATTTCAAATCAATCTTACAGATCGTTGTCTTACACATTTAGAAGGTGGAACGCGAAGCATCGTTCTGAAATAAAAATGAAGTCATCTTCGTCCAAAAATAAATCTCAAAACAGTTTACCCAAAGAAGAAATCAAAGACGTGGAACACTTTACTTCTCTATTGAGTCAAAATCATAATCTATGTACTTACAGCACAGTGATTTCAGACAGAAATCGTTCACATCAAATTACATCTAAATTAATCAATGATGGGCGATACAGACACCTTGTGTTGTACGACAATGATTTGATGGATGTTATCAGTGACGCTAGACATATTATAGTTCATAGAATGGTATCGATAGTTCCTAAAAAATGTGGAACACACTTGATAACAATTATGTTTGAAAAGTATGAAAAAGTAAGTATTCAATTGAACTCCACCTTCAATTGCATTTTCTTGATTATAAACGTTTACTGTATTACATAGGCATTAGCAGGCTTTTGGATATTAATGGGTGGGGACGAAGAATTTTGTTATCAAATACTTTTCAAGTTTATAAAACTTTTATTTCCTTATTTTAATCCCAAAGTTGCAGTAGTAGATTATGATCAGAATATACAGAATGGATTAAAAAATGCTCTACCAAACATTGACATCATTCCATCTTTTTTGCATCAAATACAAGTAAGAACATCAACAGCAAAAGAGTTACGATACATTACTAATGGTTGATTATTATGTTAGAGTATATTCGAGAATGCAATAAGAACCCATGCGGCAGTTAAATTCAATAGGACCAAGAACGCAGAAAAGCATGTGGTGTTGCAAAAATTTATGGCTCTGTCACTTTTACCACGAGATTACATTTTATCCAGTTTCAATCGTCTAATGACTGAATGTAAATCCAAGCATGGAACTTATTTTGATTCGTTTATTGATTATTACACCAAAGAATGGTTAAACGTATGGACACCAGAAGCTTTGAGTATCTATCGATTTAAACATTTTATGAAGAATTTTTTAGAATGCTATCAATATAGACTAAATTTTAAAATAGGCAAGGAATTGTCTCCTCATTTATTTATTGGTAAGTACTTGCAAACTGTATTAATATATTTTTATGCAGTTTTTAATATTATGCATCAATGATATTTATTACTTTATGTTTGTTTCATTATTTTCTTTCCAGAAAAAATAAAAAATGTTTTAGTTAAAACAAGATTAGATCTTTATTTATTGGAAAAAGGTGAAGTTTTAAGTTACTATTTAGTTCCTCAGGATGAAGAGAGGGAAAGAAAAATGTACAAAACTTGGGACAGACTAGATAGGGATTTTATAACAATGAACGAAGCGTTAGTGATTTGTTCTAATTTACTGAACGAAGATTTTATTGACTCGTTACCAGATTCTGTAATTGAGAATAAAAACGCCATAAGTGAAAGTAATGTTTATAGTGCGGCATCAGAGACTCTCAGAGCTGAACCAATATTCAAAAAGCAGAATACGAGTGTATTGAAATCTACAGAAGAAAGAATGGTTCAGGATTAGCACGTAAATTGCTAGATGACTATATTTTTATAATGAATTTAATGAACGATGTGGGTCCAGTTTTATGATTAAATGTTAATAAGCCCCTGGCTCATGCATAACGCGATTAACAAGGTACATCATTAAAGTGTTCTTGAATGATATTGTACAACGTGTTATTAATATTTTATGCATAGTTGTTGCGTAGTTATAAAAATAATTATAGTGGAGTTTTTAGGTACTTTGGATATTAATTTATTTAATATATTTTTTTGCACCGACTTATCAATCACTAGTTACGTTTGTACTTTCAAAGTTAGATTGAAAACTCATTTTTGTTTGTGAAGAAAATAAAGCAATTGTAATAATTTAATGCAAGTACATAATGTGATGATGACTTTTATGAGTTACAATAAAAAAAAAATAATAATAATTCAAATAAAATGTACCGAGTTTCTGTTTAAGTAACCGTAGATTAAAGTTGGAAATGATGCAATATTTTTTACCGATGGCTATCTCATTAACTCTGTCTTTTAATCAGAGATTAAAGTAATTAATGTTCCCTATACATCGTGCGAATTTTTCATCAATAGAAAGTCAACTGTATTGAAATTAAAATACCCCTGAAAAGCAGGTCATCACATATTGAATGATGGTCACAAGCAGAGAAATTAAATTTCCCTTTAAATTACCCTTGTATTCAAACTTTAAAATTTTGTGGTGTTTGTAGGAAGTATTTGCCATTCAGCATCTTCATTTAAACAACTCTCGTGTTGGAAAATGAAAAAAAAAAAAGTACAAAAACAAACAAACAGTCACTTGTACGGTAATCTGAAGTAACAAAATTTTTGCTAGGGTTCCGTCACTGTCCACCATTTTTATCCAAACAATGAGAGGCACGATATAAACCCGATGAATTTTCTTTTTACTTCATGTTAATACATCTAAAATCATTTTTATTAAACTTTATCAGTGTTGTATTAAGTATTGCATATTATTAAGAGTTTTAATTGCGTAAACATTGAAAAAAAAAAAATGCATCAGGTTTAAATCAATCATGCCGCGCACTGTCTGACTGAAAATGGCGGACTCGTAGGTATAGATATGTTTAGAGAGAGTGTCACTACCTATATAGTTTTCGCCATGTTCTCTCAAATAAGAGAGCATCACTTGAGATATATCTGTGAATCTGCGGATACTGAGGTAATAGTAGTTGCAGAAAAGTACAGGAAGTAGGAAAGGCTTGTAAAAAAAGAAATAAGCCAATAAGTGTTGTTAAACATTGCTCTGTTGCTCATCGCGTTGCTTTGCTTGCCATTATACACACGCACGCCCAAGCATTTACCCTACACCCATACATTGTATACATTACATAGTGTTGTGTAGTAAACTGTATAGTTTTGTTGTCTTGTTTTTCGTTATAGTTTTTCTGTTGTTAACATACAAAAGTGCCGTGCACGTGAAGAAACGAACTGCAGCAGAGAGTCGAGTTCACTCTTTTGGGTCGGCTCACGCGCGGCCTTTATTCTTGGAGGGATCGAATGCAATTATAATTAAACTCATATACAGTGCGGATCGAAGAGAGAGTGAGTCCTGTAAAATAGACGAAGATGATAAGCCCTCGAATGAGTGAAACAAAAATGTGCCAAGTTATACTTAACAATACAAGTCATTGTATACACCTAAACCTCTTTAGTTTTTAAGAGAGTAGATGTACTTAGTACCGCTGCCGATTTGATGTGAGCATCACAGCATATATCAGTCGTCACTTCCTCCTCCACTATATTATTGGGATCAGCTCATATTTACTCTACGTATACCTAGCATCTATACGTAAATACAATATCAGTATCAAAGGGGTTGATACACTTCCATCAATACAATACCTACATGGATTTAGCGATTTTCCAGTAAACGAGGCATACCAAGAACGAGGTGAGCTTCGAAGGGATGTCTCTAACTAAGTGTATAAGTGTAGTGCACGCATATAGGTATGTATAATGATACGATACACTAGCCAGGGAATCAGATCGCGTGTGTGTAATATCAGTGGTCGAGGGGGCGGGTACAGGGTGCGTGTGCGCGGAGTGCGGAGGGCAGCGGGGGAGCGACCTTTCCCATCATCACCGTAGGCTCTTCTCTCTCTCATCCTCTCCATCTATATGTACACACACCTCTACATACATTCCTACCTTGTGTGCATTTTCGTCGTCGCTTTTATGTGTGTACGTTCGTTGTACTTGAGTGCGTTGACGCGACGCGTACACCTTTTATTTTTTGCAAAAGTATATACATATAAATTGTACTCCAATTTACGGGGTGAGGAAAACCATGATTCAAGAGCAGTAGTACCTGTACTTAGGTATACCGGTGTACTGGGAGAAAATTAATGAAAATAATGATGACGATAACATGGAAAAGGTGTGTGATGTGATAGTGAGAGAAAATTACACACGAAGGGGGTATCGGGGGTGTACGTATATTTACGACGACGCCGCTGCTCGGCTGCTGCTGTCAAGCAGACAGCTATACATAAACATTAGTCTGGTACATATATATACATGCAGATGTATATATATTAGCCGTTTTGTATATACACGGATGGAGTTTTGGATTACATTGTTTTTGTTCGCTCGTTTAATATTCCGATCATATGACAAAATTGTACGCGATACGTTTTTGACAGGTGAATCATATATATATATGTACACAGTTTTGGCTTCTGACGTGACGTGCTGCTCTCGCCGTAACGCTTAATGACACATCGAGTCTTTTAAATTTTTTGTTTTGTATTTACACTGAGACAGGATGGAAGGGGCGGAGGGGCATACCGCGCGTGGTGAGATGGGTATTTTTGTGTACATATATATATTACACATCATGCGTGTATGAATTTAAAGTCGTGGCTGTCGATGTCTTCTGCAACAGCATGTATACATACACACACTGAAAATTCAATTAACTTCTGCTCCTCCAGCAAAAGAAGCATAAGCTTATTTTTCCGGTTATTGTAAAATCATCGCGTGCAGCTTCTCCCCAAATATGACGTGCTTACGGTATTATGTATCGTAGAGAGCGAAAAACGTGCTTCCTCGCCCCTCATGGGTCATCACACGCGGGATTAGATGGGTGATCACGTAGGGTGCGTTTCTACGATCATCTCGGACTTTGGACTTTCGAAAAAATCTATATCCTTCAGCTGTACGTGCAATAAAACTACATGGGTGAAAATAATCGATACTTTCTTTCTCTGTGTGTGCGCGGCGCGTGGACGCGACGACTGTACACTAAAACTTATATGTACAGTGTGAGTGCACAACACTTGCGGTATAACTTGTGTTATTTTCTCTCATACTCGAGTTGCGTCTCTTGGGTTTTTGCTTCCAGGTCGTCGCGTGAAAGGGCCGAGAGGATGACGACGTGTGTGTGCTTTTTTGACTTTTTCGGGGGGTAAAAATAGAGATAGCGCACGTCGCCGGGGGGATGACGACTTCCGAGAGAACCCGACGGTCTACGTGATGGTGCGCGTCTCTCTCTCTCTCTCTCTATCTGCGTACTGCTACATGCTTATTACCGGACTTTGCTCGGTCATTGCTCGCTTTTCTCTCCTCGTTTCCTCGGATTTGCTCTGCGTGCGCGATGTGTGTGTCTCTGATGCTCGTGTCTGTAGTATAGCACAATTCAACGTGTGTGCGAATTTTTGCGTGACTCAATGAATGTCTCATGAAACTCCTGCTGCGGTGCTCCGTTTTGTTTGAAAAAGAAAAAAGAAAATCTAAGATTGTTGCTTAAATCGTTGTTTTTCTTTTTAGGAATCAGTGAGTAAGAACAGTTGGAATCTACGATGAGGAATTGAAGTGGAGAAAAAAAAAGAGAAATGGAAATTACAGTTTGTTGGAGGGAGAGCCTGGATTTTGTGATTATTGAATGTGGAGTGTGATATCGCGGATCTTTGGTAGCAAGACGACGCAAGAGTCATGTCTCCTAGGTATTGAAGACCAAAAGGCCAGCAAGCCCGAATTTGTAGTGCCAGTGGCTCATGCGGTTGTCGATGTTTCCAATTCCATGGATCGTAACATGGCAGATGAGAGACGAAGAAGCCAAGGGCTCTTCGGCGAGCAACATTCTTCTTCTGCCAGCGGAGATTCCGAGCACTCCACGGATTCCATCGATTCTCGCCAGGTTGGTGTTTTATCTTTTCATTGAAATACACTCACCTATTCCTAACTGATAAAGTACTGTGATAAAATTGCCTTTGAGTCCAAAAAAACGTTATGAACCTTTGGGCAAATCTCAAAAATGATCTTTAAGGTAATGGATCAAGTCACTTTTTTTTTTGTTCAATTTCAAGAACTTTTGATTTTTTGCATGCACTTTTCAGGCTTCACCCACTTCACAGTTGAACTACGATACATTTGTTATCATCAACAGTGGATTATTGTATTAGAACACGAGTAGAAAAGTCCAGGTGTTTGTAATATACTATTTCGTTAGCAATTCATGTTACAAGTTCATGGCGTGAATTAATCAACGCATTGATTTTAAGCGTCAATCGAATATCCGAACTATTCTTCATAATGATATCGTCACTCTTCTTCCAAACTACAAAAACAACTCGTAACGACCGTCACAATGTCATCTTACTTTACTTTCCCTCCCCCTCGTTACGATAGACGTACAAAACAAGTTAAAAGGAGAAATAAAAAAAAAAAAAAAAAAAAAAAAAAAAAAAAAAAAAAAAAAAAAAAAAAAAAAAAAAAGGAAATAACAAACAAGCCAGTGGGTCGAAAAAAATGGTTGCTCCGCAAGAAAATTCTCTCGATTTAAGAGAAAATTGGTGGCAACAGCAACGAGTGCACTTTGAAACAACGAATGCCCACCGAGATAAAACCAGATGCACTTTCCATCGAACTCTTTCGCAAAGTGGAATCCTGCACCGAGGTATACACTTGGGCAAGCGCTCGAGTCGCCGACACGCGCCCGAGTACAAGTATATACACCTATACCTACAGCTAAGCTACTCTGGATGCATCAAACCCGGCTCCTTTATACCGTCCACCGGAGTATAAGAGAGAGGGAGAGAGAGAGAGAGCTCAGCGTTTCCCCCTCGCCGTCCTCATCATCATCCGAGGAGAGAACTAACGACGGCGACGAGGAGCGGATAGACTAGGTGTGCACACACACTCCGCGAGCGGGCGGCCGATCGAGCAGCACCGCAGTCCGTTACGCTCTTCCAGGCGTTTCGCGTCGGCATGTCTCTCCTCTCCTCTGTTTAGTTCGCTCGTCGCGTTCGCGATCGCGGTATCGCTTGTGTTAAAACGACCGCTCCGTTTTGCTCTTCTTCCTTTATTTTTTCCTCTCCATGGACGACCGAGCGTATTCGGTGATTATTCGTTTCATCCTTTGCAGCTGGGCTCGATTGCTGCGAGCTTGACCTCTGCCGGGGGCCACCTCCTCCACCTTTCCCTTTTACTATCGGAGAAGGTTTGGCGTGTGGCTTAGAAAGCAACGGGCGCTCGCGGTGATAGTTGGCTGGGTGTTCTGCGGTGCATATTGTACTTGGTGTTTGATCGATTGATCGAAAACGCAGTATTTTTGGAATGCTTCTGATGGTTTTTTTTTTTTTTTTTTTTTTACTCATCATGCGTGTATGAATTTAAAGTCGTGGCTGTCGATGTCTTCTGCAACAGCATGTATACATACACACACTGAAAAATCACTAGTTACGTTTGTACTTTCAAAGTTAGATTGAAAACTCATTTTTGTTTGTGAAGAAAATAAAGCAATTGTAATAATTTAATGCAAGTACNTGATTGATGATACGCAAGAAAAGCTGCTCGAACTCCTTGAAGAAATGACCACTGGTTGGTATTCGAAGCTACTATTTTTTTTTTTTTTTTTTTTTTTTTTTTTTTTTTACTACTCCAGGTATACTTTTCACTATACTCGGTAATTCTTATTCAGCACGCGAGATGCAAAATTATATAAGTAGAGAGAAAAATTGTTTTTAATTTCAACATCCGAGCAAACAAACGTCGCGTCCCTTTAATGAAAGTTTCAAAGCGGCCGTCAACAACGAGATGAGACGCGCTGCGGGGTTTACCCAAATTGTTCAAAGTCAAACAGAAGAAAAAGAAGAAATCAAAGCTCCAAAGTTGTTACAAAGTTCAAAACGCAAGTACAGCTACGATGCTCCGAAATACTAGAAAACCCCCCTCGCACCACCGAGTCTTCCCTTAACTTACTCGAATTCGGCACGTATTTACTTCATTAGCTTGTATCCGATGTCTAATGAAACCGTCCAGATAATTTTTACACCTCAAATATTCCAGAACACCTATACCAAACTATATATACGCCGCGCAAGTTGCAAACCCATCCCACCCGGGTCAAGCTCGCAGTAATCCACGTCTCTCGATCTTTTCACTGTAAATGTATAATATGTATTATCTCGTTTTGCGCAGAAAGTGCCTTAAATCGACAACGAGTACACAACGAAACGCGTGTGTAAGTAGTCGTGTAGCCCAGTGTGCCTTTATTCCCGCGTAAGGAGCTCTCCGGTCTTCACTTGCCACGACCAAACGAAACAAAGTGACCATCGGATGAAAGGAAAAAAAAAAAAAAAAAAGTGCCAACAAAAAGTCATCGACAGCCCGACGAATGCCTCAATGTGAAAAGTGAAGGTGCCCAGTAATAATAATGTCCAATGTGTGTTGTGCCAACCGCGACGGGAAATAAGGCCCATCGCGATGCGCTCGGTTGGAAAAAAGGAAGGAGCGTAGCGTATACTTTGATCCCTCGATCGTCGCAATCGCCGTCGTGGTGCCGGACAAAACGCGAGCTCCATCATGTTGGCTCTGACAGCGACCCACCGGCCCATGAAGCTCGAGACCGAGGACGTCCGAGAGATGACCTGCAACATCAAAGTCACCACGATTTACGTGAGTCTTGCTCGTACTGTCCGCGTATGTATGTGTTGAGAAACAAATCCCCGTGTCTGTCGCGCGCGTGCGAGTTGCGCAACCAAAAGAAGAAGAAGAAGAAGGGAGAAAAAAAAAAAAAACAGCGAAATCAAGAACTGACACAATTCCTCTACGATTTACCCATATACCTCCTCTATCTCTGTGAAAAACCAGTTGATTCCCCTCGATCTTTTTCTCTAGGTGTGTGCGTGTATATAATATCTGCATAGACCATGTGAAAGAAGAGAAGAAAGAGAGAGAGAAAAAAAGTGTGTCTCTCTCGTTGATGCAAACTGGCTCTTACGCGCCAAGGATAAGGTGTAGGTGTTCGTCTCTCTCTCTCGGGCCTCTCGCGTTATTATTACGTATATATATATATGTGTGTGTGTACACGCACGAGCAAGCGGGATCGTGATTCCAATCCTACGCGATTTGAGCAATACCTCGGACACCGCCAACGAGCTTTTATTTTATTTTTTTTGTTGTCCTCATGGGCGGTGTAAGGAGTTGGATTATTTTCCTTTTTTTTTTTTTTTTGCCATCACTCCGATGATGTTTCACGTGCCTATGGGCGCCGCTCGTGAAGGCTTCCCTTTCGGCTGATGCCGTCGGTCCGGAGAGATAAAATCTTCCGAGTTGTATAACATCGATGTATCCTCGAGAGAGCGGCGGCCGGGCGCGTAGGTGTTTTCATATTTATGTTGATCGGCATCACGAGTCGTTTTCTTTTGGTGGCTTTTGCTTTTATTGGTGGTCCCGTCTTTGCTTCCGATGGATTTTACAGGGTATCGTCTTTGGGAAACATTTTTAGGGACGAGTTGATTGATTAGAAAATAAAACAACGGGATGCTTATGTGCAAAAGAAGCAAACGAGAGAGAGAGAGATGCCTACAACATGTAATTTGATTTAAGTATAATCCAGTTTGTTGGGCGCAGACTGTAAATTGGATTAATTTGAGCGTCAATTTTTTTTATTACCCAAGTATATACACATTTATACGTATATATAATATATATATATATTTTTTTTTTTCTGAAAGAGGTGTTTTCAACGTTTCGCGGTGAATTTTCTCGTAAATTTAAAATAGGATCTTCGATCGATACTCAACATGCACAGGCAATTAATTGTTAGCATGTATACATGTGCACATGGAAAGTTTTTCTTTTTGCGTGTATATTATGGTTTCGGGTGCTCGACGAAATTAGCGAAAATACGTTCTAACTGAGTCTGTAAATATACATGCATACATAGAAGCGCGACTTTTGAAACTTTGTGGCTTTCACTTGGTTTCTCAACGGCCGATCGACCGATTCAGGGGCAGGTCCAAATTTCTGGGCTGGATAGTAGTATAGCCCTGCCGAGAAAGGAAAATTTCAAGTGGCGACGCTAATTTTGAGAATTTCACTTGGAGTCGCGTTGCACAAAGCTCTTTAATTATTTACTACAATATGTTGTATTAAAGTGTCCACGTGTAAACATTTTTTATACTCATACACGATGTAAGTAATCGTAAAACGCTACAAATAATTACCCGTAGAATGTATACATTTAAAAAGTATTTCGATGCATTACTATCAAAAAATGTCTTTTAGGTACCAAGCTCGAAGCCCTATTTTCGTTGGCAAATGGTTTGACTGGCAAAAACTCAAATGAACTCAACCAAAGTAAAAAAACCGCGCAGAATAAAAGAAAGGAGATGAAAAGTGTTTGATAATGTAGATGGAGTTGTCACATACACCACCACCACCTCCAGCAATGGCAATAATCAGTCTGAGAAAAGAAAAAGTATGGCACGAGGAGGAAGGAGGCAAATCGTTAGCGGAAGCGCGATGAGGCGCATCGACGTATACGGCAGTGCAGCAGGAGCGCATCGGCTTGTAAGCCGACAAGACGCTAATTATACAATATATATATATGGCAAGAAAAGAGGGAAGCTAATAAGTATAAGGCGGGAGGGAAAAGAATGCACTTGTTCGCTCGGTGCATGGCATAAAGCTGCGCTGAATAAGTATACTGTACGGGATAGAGAAGGAAGGAAGGAAGGTAGAGAGAGAGACGACGACGACGAGGAAGAAAAGGCGTGCATATAGGTATATAATATACACAGAGCTGCACGGTTAATGCGCGAGGAGGAGAGAAAGAAAAGAGAAAAATCACCGGTGCGTGCCCGGCGATCCACATGCGAAACAGTGCGAGCTCCTGGGCTGCACTTGCAAACG